CCTTTGTAAATCTCCAGCCTGCTTACCTGTTAACTGCCCATTTGGCATACCCTTTGGCTCTTTCCCCATGTACCCAATATAAGCAGCTGGCTTATGGTGGGGTGCAGAGCAGATTTTTGTGGATGACCTGCTGCTCTGCCATATTGCCAGCAGTATTGGAATAAACATTCATATATGTTTGACTGGTGTATATGTTAGATTCTGGGGAAAGGTGGCCACCACATGGGTCTTTGAATTATATATATCCTATCTAATAAAAGGCTAATATGCAAGTTGTCCCCTTGACTGGGAGTTTGACCAGGAGTTCAACCAGGGAATGGGGCTGGCTGGCCAACAGCCCACGGCCCCTCCGCCGGCCAGCCCCACCCCTGATCACCCCCCCCCCAATGTGGGTGGGGCCAGCTGGACCCCACCTGTGCACAAATTTGTGCACTGGGCCTCTAGTATATATATAAAAGGCTAATATGCTAAGTGCCCCTCCTATCTTCCAACCAGTCTCTATGATGTGCACAGACCACCAGGGGGCAGACGCTTAACCTAGGAGCTGCTGAGCTGCAGTGACTTGGCAGCAGCGGTTCTTGGGTGACACACCCTGAAACCAGAGAGGAGGGAGCCAGATTCCTTGCGGAGCCACGTGATTCCACCTTTGGCCCTGGGTTATGTTTTTGCTGGGGCACTGTTGGCCACAAATCTGGTTTACTGCATACTTGCGTTTGCATTCCACACCCTATATGACAGCAACTTTGCATAGTGCCCGCTTGCATTCCAGGACCCTTCGGGGGATGTCGGAGAGCTGGTTTCAGCCCATTTCCCTCAGATCAGGCCGAGGGACCCCACCTGCCAGAGGGATCCCGCTCACTCTGCAGACACAAGGGAGGGACCACGGGAGGTTGGCTCCAGGGCGTGTCTGGCCCCTCTCGCCCACTCCTGCCCTGCTGACCACCTTCTAACTAATTTCCTTTCAAAGTGCACAAATTCGTGCACCAGGTCACTAGTTGTACTATATTAGAGTCAGAATCTTTTCGTAAAAGGTTCAGGGAAATGGGGAGAAATACAATATGTGCAGGCTTTTATGTCATTGCATAATTTTGATTCTGATGGGAATAAGGAAGGAACTAAGCTGATGTTTCAGAGAAAAGATGAGGTACCGGTCATACCAAAAAGTAGAGAACATGAGGAGAAGGAGAAGGAGGAACAGGAACAGGAGGAGGCTGTTTTAGGGTCCATTGTTAAGGCTGTCCTCCGGTGTCAGGAATGGGATGATATACAGGCTCCAAGTGCTCCCAACAGCAAAGGAGCTCCCTCCCTATCCTGGAATCTCAGATGCTGTAGACCCTGTGAGAAAGCCTGAGACGGTTGACCCCTTCCCCTCAAAGATGAGGTGGGTACTGAATTTGGAGAGGATAAGGCTAACTCCTTAGCAGGGCAATTTCCCCTCTGGGCCGTATACCAGTGGGAACCACAGGGGATGGGCACCCAGCAGGATATTACTGGGCCCATTCTCCTTTCTTTACTTCAGATCTACTCAATTGGAAAAACTCCAACCCCTCTTACTGGGATGACCCTTTAAAAATTACAGGTTTGTAGATTCCATCTTTGCCACTTACAACCCCAATGGGGCCGATATTCAGGCCCTGCTCAACATCCTTTTAACTGAGGATGAAAAGAGACTAGTGCTTGGTAAGGCCAGAGAGGAAGCACTTCAGTTACATGAGAAAGGCCCGAATCACACCCCAGACCCTGCTCAAGGTACTCTGCTTGTCCAGCCTAGTTTAATTTAAACTAAACAACTTGAACACTATCAGAAGTGTATAGTAGGGGGGCTCAGGAAGGGGGTCCCCAAACAAAAGAGTTTGCATATGATACAGGCAGTTCGACAGAAAGTAGATGAAGATCCCTCTGCCTTCAAGAACGAATCTTTCAGGATTACCAGAAATATGCACATATAGATCCCCAGGCTGCAGAAAATAGTCTTGTGGTTAACTGGACTTGCAACTAGCCGGAGTTTTCTAGATATTAGAAAAAATGCAGAAGGTTGGCGGGCACGTGGAATGGATCCCTCATAATTAGTTTATATTGCTTTTAAAGTTTTTAATAAAAGAGAAAATGAGAAGGCAACTGTCTTCCTGGGGCAAGCACATCATCAGAAACCATGGAGCAGGAAAGGGAAAGGAATGGGAAGAAAAGCCCCTCTGGAATATGATCAGTGTGCATTCTGCAGAGATAAAGCCACTGGAAAAGCTAGTGCTGAAAGAGGAAGGCGTTCCTAGGCCAGAAAGGGAGCGGGCAAGAAATGCCTGAGGTCATGTTGAACAAAGTCATAGGAGACTGTGATTTAAATGGAATGGACCTCCCAATAGTCAGGGGATTTTATTGCCACACCAAGTTTACATTGCGTACTCTAGATAGCAGGGGGAAGCAATGGAAGTTCCTGAACTCCAGGCTGTGGCGACAAAATCAATTTCTGGGTTATCTTCGTCAGGACCTGAGACAGCCCAGTTGGATTACAGCAATGAAAGAGGCATGAGGTTTTACACACTTTGTCAGTCATGATTCCACCACTGATGTTCATTTCTTAAATAATTAAAAAAATGTTTTCTAATTGTGAGAAGAGCCGCCATTGCATTGTCAGTTACAAACTAATACAAGAACTTCATATTCTCATTTATTTCATTCCAGCACAACCTCATGCAGGACTTCTAAATATTTATTAGGTAACAAAAGTGGTATTGGATCTTTCTAAGAAATTTTTTAAAGAGTCAGCATTTTGCAAACATTTTTGGCAGAAGTCTGATCCTGCTTTTGAGAAAACATGTCAGTGAGAAATTTGGTGTCCAGTGCATTACTAAAATTCTATTCTGAAATTGTTTGTAAACATGACAAGTTAAAAAATGTAAATATTTAAATAAAAAATGTTTGCAACATTGTAATGTAAAACTTAGAAGAATTGCATCCTATCCTAAGGTTGGCTCTAGTTAAATCCTTCCCTTGGTCAACATTTACTGGGCATTTACAATCAGCAGTGCCCTCAGAACTGAACACAAGATACAAACCTGCCACTCCATGATGTCAGAATGGAATGAGGAAAGGACACTTTCACCGATAATGACTATACAATGTGGTAGAAAGCAGCATCCATTTGTAAGGCTTTTGTTTCATTAGAGTCAATAAGGGAAAAGCCATGTTCTGGGCGAGTAGACATGTCAGTTGTCTTCCTGGTCACTTTTTTTTTTTTTTTTTTACTGAAGGAAAAGACTCATGAGGCAGTGGAGAAGGTAATTCAGTCATAGCTGGGGTGGGATGCAGGTTCCACCTTTTACTAGCTCTAAGCAAAACTCTGTCTTTGTTTCCTCATCTGGAAGAAGATGGTCTAATAGAGTGAATGGGAGGGTTAAATTAAGACAATGAACGTAAAGTGTTAAGAATGATGTCTTGGCCCCTAGCTGGTTTGGCTCAGTGGATAGAACATTGGCCTGCGGACTTAAGGGTCCCAGGTATGCTTCTGGTCAAGGGCACGTGCCCAGTGATTCTTTCTCATCATTGATGTTTCTATCTCTCTCTCCCTCTCCCTTCCTCTCAGAAATCAATAAAATATATTAATAAAAAAAGAATAATGTCTTGCACACAATTGATAATATTATTTTACATCCTTTGTGCTCTCCTACAGACAATTAACAACCCTCTAATGCTCTGTCCCTTTGGGTTGTCAGGCAATAAAATATTAACTTAATAATGGAAATCAGAAATAAATATAATAAGAAAAGTAGAAAAAAGGAAATAGGAAAAAGGAATACTTCCAACTAGATTCAGCAGTGGACAAGCTTGCCTCTTGCCTAGGTTGCTTACTCTCTCCCATGTACTCAGACACAGGGTGATCACACCACCCTGGATCAGATAGAGCCCTTCCAGAGAGTCCCATATCTAAGGTTTATAGGCCACAGAAAGCCTAACTGATGCCTTATGTGAACACTGTTACTTACTTTTTATTTACTTTTTTATTTATGTATTTTGTTAATCCTCCTCCAAGGATATTTTTCCAATGATTTTTAGGGAGGGTGGAAGAGAGGGAAAAAGAGAGAAGCCCTAGCTGGTTTGGCTCAGTGGATAGAGCGTCGGCCTGCAGACTGAAGGGTCCCGAGTTCGATTACGGTCAAAGGCACATGCCTGGGTTGCGGGTCTAGTCCCCAGTAGGGGTTGTTCAGGAGGCAGCTGATCAATGATTCTCTCTCATCATTGATGCTTCTATCTTTCTCCCTCTCCCTTCCTCTCTCAAATCAATAAAAATATATTTTAAGAGAGAGAGAGAGAGAGAGAGAGAGACATCGATGTGAGAGAAACACATCAATTGGTTGCCACCTGCACATGCCCAACCAGGACCTGGGCCCCAACCAGAGGAGGAGCCTGCAACCAAGGTACATGCCCTTGACTGGAATCTAACCTGGGACCCTTTGGTCTGCAGGCCGACACTTACTCCACTGAGCCAAACAGGTTAGGGCTATTTTTTTAATTTAAAATATTTTTATTTCATGGGTATACTTATTCAGTTCAATGAGAACTACAAATCAAATAAACAACCTTCCTAATACAATCTGTAGTTGTGATTTGGATGAAAAAAAACTGGCACAGATATCTATGTCAAAAACAGAGGATGGAAGGTAGCATTCTCTGAAAAACTGGTAACTCAAAAATTGGCCCAACTGCCCTAACTGGTTTGGCTCAGTGGATAGAGTGTCAGCCTGTGGACTGAAGGGTCCCAAATTCGATTTCAGTCAAGGGCATGTACCTTAATTGCTGGCACATCCCCAGTAGGGGGTGTGCAGGAGGCAGCTGATCGATGCTTCTCTCTCATTGATGTTTCTAACTCTCTATTCCTCTCCCTTCCTCTCTGTAAAAAGTCAATAAAGTATATTAAAAAAAAACTGGGCCAACTAGGACAAGACTTTGATAGGAATGATCCATGAGAAGAGTTTATTTAAATGACTTAATGAAATGTGAAAAAGGAAAATATAGTAAAATGTTTTATAAATTAATTCACTTATACACATATAATTAGTAAAAGATAGAGGAAAATCCCTCCTTTACATTAGCACATTTCTATAGTCTTTACAGTCCCCATCAGAGCCACTTCGCCTGTCAATACCCACTTCACATTTACTCTACTGAGCCTCTTCCACCAAGTGTCTGAGTGCTTGCTATAGAAGACTTCTTCCTATCACTACTCATTTTCTGTTGTTGACCCTTCCTCTCTTAATGTCGTTGTCCTCTTCTTATGCAAGTGTTCTCTTCTTTTCGGGGCCACTTGTGAGTTCTGTAAAAAATCCTGGTCAGCCCCAAGATGGACACCAATAATTAGACCGAAAAATATTACAAAAAATAAAAAACAGTAAAAGAAGATACACAAACAAAAAATAAATATTACTAAAATAAAAAAGGGGAATACAATCATTAACACATCCTTGCTGTCATTTTCATTTCTATTCTCACCACCTTTGCCAAAATTTTCATGATCAACACTATAACTGTTCTTTTCATCCTCACTTGGATTTTCAACCTCTGTTTTGCCAGGAGAACCACTGTCCACACTACCCCCATTTCCTGGAGTTCTGCAGTCGGGGGGTGCAAAGCCAGCCTCACAGTGGCAGTGCCTTACATTGTTACAGACTCCTCTCCCATTGCACATTTCTGCTGGTCTGCAGTCATAGTTGAGCACAGCATGATCAGTGCAGGAGTAATTCATGCAGACTTTGTTTGGGGCACAAGCAGTGCCAGAGTGCACATCTCCCTCATCAGGGATATCAGTAATGTTATAGACATCCAAGCTCCAGCAGAAGTCACCTTCATAAGGAATCTGGATCAGTGTGTGATGGGGTTTGATGGATGGGATGATGGATGGGACCCGTCTAATATTTGTACATATAATTTTCCCACAAAATACATTATCATCAAAGCACTTAACATATGTTGACATTGCTGAGGTGGGATGGCCACAGTTTCCAAACCGGTCCCCTTTGCTGTTCATTGAAATGTAACAGTTTTCTGGGGCTGACCGTGCAGTGTCCCCATACATAGCCATGCATTGGTTATCAGGGTTCCTGCATTGACCCCCAACACAGTAGTGCAGTCTACCGCATGACGTCCCATCTTGCTTATAGGTGTCTGTGGGGCACTCTGCAGAGGTACCATCACAATACTCTGGGAGGTCACACTCTCCCAAAGCAGAACGGCACATGAATCCCTTATTCTTCAGTCGGCAACCAAAACAGCAGAGTCCATCACTACATTCTGCACTCCCCTTCAGGCTACATGTTTGGTCACAGCACGGGTCAGTGTAACAGGCAGAACCACAGTCACACTGCTCCTCACCCTCCACCACACCGTTTCCACAGTAGGAATCCCTACGCAAGCGGCCTTTGTGCCGCTGAGGGTTGTTAAATAGGCAGGCCCCTCTGTGTTCCTGGAGGAACTGGTAGAAGTCGTCAGAGCTACAGTTGCTGAAGCCACTTTCTTTAGTGATATTGTCACGCATGAGGCAGAGGGGTTTGTCTTTACAAATGCAGGCTGAGTGGTCGTGCCGAATACCCAAGTTGTGCCCAAGCTCATGGACCATGAGCGCTGCAAACAGCAGGACATCTTCATGATGGAAGGATTCAACAGCTGCTGCAAACCCACTTGAGCAGGCACCATTGAGAAATGCCTGTCCCATACCCTGTGCAGGATGCTGTCCGACAATCATGTGGGCAACATCATGCTTCACACGATGGAGGAGCTTCTCTTGTCTCCAGCTGTTGAAATTCCCGAGTGTAACTTGCAGGTCCACTGGGACCTCTATGAGGTCCCCCTCGGTCCAAATCTCCATTCCAGCCAGCACCACCTCTGTGTTTATTCCCCTAGTGAAGCTGTTGGCCAGGGCAATGATGTGCATCACCCTCTGGACCGTCTCATTGACGTTACTGCCCCACATTTGGAACCGCTGGTTGTTGACCACAACAAACATCTCCACATACTTGGTGAGTGACCACAAGTAGGACAGCTCCTGTAGACCGCCAGGCTTCCTGCTCCCTTGTTGTTGGCTGGTGGACACCACTGGGCTGTCTTTGGAAGTGACACTGCAGGAGACTGGTGATTGATGAGCCATGGTGTACAACACATGTTCAAACCGTCTTGAAGAGTCCATGGGCTCAATGCCATAGGATTTTCCCTCCTTAATCAGGATGCCCCTGAGGCCTGAACAGGTGTTGACAGAAACGAAAGAACCCAGGAGTCCTTCTATGTAGCCTTCATAGTGACAGTCATGTGAGATGAAAGGCATTTCTTGTCCCAGGGTGCCATTGTGGTAGCTGAAGACTGGAAAGTTCTTGATAAAATAGTCTGTCTTCACTTTCAGGTGAATCACCTGTTTTTCACCCTGCATAGATATCACATAAGATGCCTTTTGCCTTGTGTCTTGCCTTCCCTCAACTGTCAGAGCCTTGGGGATGACTATTTCATAGGACAAATAATATACTGACCCCAGGTCACAGCACAAGCTTGGCAGGAAAGTCAGTACCAACACCAGCACAATCCCCAACCTGACAGGTGAAGATCCTGGCACCAGTACCAGCGCCAAGCTCTTCATTTGGGCAGCCCAGGTCTGAAGCACTCTGCTTGTCTCATACATAACCACTTGGTTCCTCTGTAGAGAAGGTGGGCACTGACATGGCCCCACTGAATCAGTGGCTGATGCAGGGCTTTGTCCTTAAGCAGAAGCACTCCTTGACATGCAGACTGTTAGGCACTGGGATTAGCTGCAGGTGTTGGCTGGCTGCATAAAGGGTGGGTATTGCCTACCTCTGGCTGTGTCCTTTCTAGTCTCTCTGACCTCTCTTATCCTTCAGATAGTGTCCTTTCTGTGGCTTCGTTCCATAGCATTAGCTTCAGTGATCCTTGGCTACAGTCCTTTGATATTTTGGTGATGTAATTACCAAGAAGGACTCCAAACCCTGGGAGAGGAAACAAAACCTCTGTGCCTTCCTCAACTGTGCCACACGGAACTTCCACCCCTCCTGTGTCCGTTGCTCAGCTAACTACTAATGTTCCAGACCAGGGGGCTTGGAGATCATTGGTGGGCACACTCCATTGCCCATTTCCCCTCTTCTAAAACTCTTGCTCTGTAACACATGTGCATCAAATTCAGATCTTATTGATCTCTCAATGAGGCTTTATAGTGTTATGCACATCTCTGCAGGCAGGCTGTTAGAAAAGACAGGGGGTGGCTGTCCTGTGCCTCAGGGTAGACCTAAATGGGTTGATGATCATGGGGCAAGGGACAATACTCCAATTTTTTTTTTAACATAATCAAAATTCAGTCTCTCAAGTTCTATTTATAACACTGTCGAAAAATGTGTTGGGAGAGGCCAACAGAGTAGCCTTCTCTTATGTGTGATTTTCATGGGCACATTGGCTGGTAACTCCAGGTACACACCCTTCTCTGGATGGCCCGGACATATCAGTACCCTATAATAATGCCAATTGAAGACTAGGTATCACAAAGTCTCCCCTGTGTTTGAAAATGACCTACATTTGTTCAATGCCCACTTCTGTTTTCATCCTTATACTAGTACATCCAAGTTTAAGAATAGAAGAATTAGCCAGGCCAGGGTCGCTCATTGGTTGAGTGTCAACCTATGCACCAGGAGTTGCTGATTGGATTCGGGATCAGGACACATGCCCTGGTTTCAAGCACAATGCCCAGCCCACATCGTGCATGAGCCCATCCATGTTGATTTTTCCCTCTCATTGATGTTTCTATCTCTTTCTTATCTCTTTGTAAAAGCATTTTTTTAAAAAAGAGATTAACTACAATTACTTATTGAATGAATAAATGACTCTCGGGTAATGATGCTATGATGTATCATCTGTTGTATGTTATTTGTTTGTGCTCACTTCATGTCTGTCCTGAAAGAGTCAAAGTGTCTATAGAAAAACCCACAATTATGCTGATGAATGGCACATTCATGACCTCAAAATGTATCTCCCTCTTCCTACATTTTGCTGGTCAGTTCACTTTCCTAATGTCTTCGTGCCTCATATTTTATTGAGAGAAATAAAAGCAATCAAAAGTACTTTCACATGGAGACACCACTTGAGTCGCCTGTATCTAAATTTTCCTCTGACTCTGGTAGATAAATTGTCCGCACTCCAATCTAAGGCCAATTTGCTGCTTGTGTGTGGGGTCTACTTCCCTTAACAGTTTCTCAAGGACTTAACTATTCCAACTGTCCCTTTTGTGTTTTATATCTGAAACATCTGTTTATCCATTGGACCTAATCTCATTATATGCTATAATGTTTCATCTTTATCAAACCATCACTCTTAGCCCACATCACTCTCCAGTTGACACCCAGTATCTCCTCTCTGTTTCATACTGAAACTGGAAATATATATATATGCATTCTGTTCCAATTTGCACCACTACTTTTTCTTTTCTGAAATTTAAATTTCAAATCAAAGTACAGTCACAAAATGTGAATAAAACATAAATATATTTTCAGTAAATTATTTAAGAGTGAACAATTCAGCACAGAGGATACATGTGTCCTAGCCGGTTTTGCTCAGTGGATAGAGCATCTGCCTGCAGACCGAAGGGTCCCGGGTTCGATTTTGGTCAAGGGCACATTCCCGGGTTGTGGTCTTGATCCCCAGTGTGGGGTGTGCAGGAGGCAGCCGATCAATGATTCTCTCTCATCATTGATGTTTCTATCTCTCCCTCTCCCTTTCTCTCTGAAATCAATAAAAATACATTTTTTAAAAGAAAAAAGAAAAGGACACATGTATTATGACTTAATTTATATGATGTTTCTTGAGTAGTCAAGTTGGTAGAAACAGAAAGTGAAGAAGTAGAGGTTACAGAAGCTGGGGAAAGAGTAATAAGACTGGTTCGTGAAGATAGTTTCAGTTTGAGATTATGAAAACATTCTGGAAGTGGATGGTGGTGATAGTTATACAACCATGTAAATGTACTTAATGCCACTGAACTGTACACTTAGAAATAGTAAAGAGGGTTAATTTTATATTATGAATATGAGAGAGAGAAAGAGAGAGAGAAGAGAAAGCTACATAAGTCCAACTCTGATCAAGTAATCAATAGTTTTAGCTCGAAGTCACCCATGTGCCATTGCCAATCACATGTCCTCCTGCTTCAGAGATAATCCTGCCTCTGTCTTTTATGGTAACTACTTTGTGACTTTTCTTTCTCAATTTGCTTCCTAAACATGCATCACAGAATTTTTAAATTTTATTTGCTTTTTTAATCATACCTTTATTAGGATATAATTGACATAATATTCATCCTTGAAAGTGTACACACCAGAAGATTGTAGTGTGCTTAGAAAATTATACAAGTGTCACAAAATCAATTTTAAAACATTTTCTCATCCCTAAGCAAAACACTAGTATCTATTATTAGTCACTCCCCATCCTCCCCTCCCCACAGCTCATGGCTACCACTACTCTACACACTAGACACTTCATAGCAGTGGAATCCTACATGTGGGAATCTTCTGTGCTGGCTTATTTCACCTAGCATAACGTTTCCGAGGATTAGCCATGAGGAAAATTGCATCAAAATTCCCTTTCTCTTGGCCAAATAATGTTCTTTTCGTGTGGATATACCACATTTTACTTTTAGATACATCTGTTGATGAACATTTTGGTTGTTACTACTTTGGGACTACTGTGAATAATACTGCTATGGACATTTGAGTACAAATTTTTGCATGGACATATGTTTGCATTTGTCTTAGGTAGATACTTAGGAGTGGAATGTTTGGTCATGTGAGAACTCTGTTTATCCTCTGAAGGAATTTCCCAAGCAGCTACACAATTTCACATTTCTGCCAGCAATGAATGCAGCTTCCAATTCCTCCTCCTATCACTGATATTTGTTATTTTCTACTTTTTAAATTATAGCCATTCTAGTGGATGTGAAGTGATATCTCATAGTTTTGATCTGCAATTCCTTAATAATTAACGATGTTACACACCTTTTCATATTCTTTTTGGTCACTATCTTCTTTGTAGAAATGTCTATTTACATCTTTTCCCTTATAAAATTGGGTGTCCTTTTCTTAATTGTAAGACTCATTAATATTTCCTGGGGCCCTAACCAGTTTGGCTCAGTGGATAGAGCATCGGCCTTCGGACTCAAGGGTCCCAGGTTTGATTCTGGTCAAGGGCATGTACCTTGGTTGCGGGCACATCCCCAGTAGGGAGTGTGCAGGAGGCAGCTGATCGATGTTTCTCTCTCATCAATGTTTCTAACTCTCTATCCCTCTCCCTTCCTCTCTGTAAAAAATCAAGAAAATATATTTTTTAAAAAATATTTCGTGGGTACTGGTCTCTATCAGATATGATTTGCAAATATTTTCTCTCATTCTGTCTTTCCACTGTTTTAAAAAAAGATTTTTCTATTGATTTTTAGAGAGAGAGAAATGGAAAGGGGAGAGACAGAGAGACTGATCTGAAAGTAAGAACCTTAGAGAGACCAATTAAATGAACCAAGCATGAGGTTGCAAACACTTTATCAGCGATGATTCCATCTCTGATGTTCTCTTCTTAAATAATTTAATATTTTCTGAGAAGAGCCACTGTGGCCTTGTTGTACACAAATTGATTCAAAAACTTCATATCCTCATTTATTTCATTCTAGCATAACCTCATGCAAGACTTCCATAATTTTATTAAATATGAAAGGTGGTATTGGATTTTTTCAAAAATTCTTCCATAGTTCTAAAAATGTAAAGCTTACCCTGGCTGGTGTGGCTCAGTTGGTTGGGCATCATCCCATGCACCAAAAGGTTGCCAGTTTGATGCCCGTTCAGGGAACATGCCCAGGCTAGTTTCGGGCTAAATCCCTAGTAGGAGGCAGTGAATCGATGTTACATTCTCACAATGATGTTTCTCTCTCTCTGTTCCTTTATCTCTAAAAATCAATGAAAAACATTTTTAAATATGTAAAGCTTAATGTCCAGAAGCAAGGGGAGTATTAATTTTAAAGCATCAGCATTTTGCAAACATTCTTGGTAGAAGTCTGCTTTTGCTTTTAAAAAAACATGTCAGTGAACATATTTGCCCAATGAAAGCACCAAAATTCTATCTTTGATATTAAGTTCATAAACACCAGAAGTTTTAAAAAAATTATGTACATTTTCAAAAAGTTTTGCAACTTTGTAATGTAAAACTTTAGCGTCCCTCTGACATTGATAATGTCATCCCTGTTTAACGTAAATATTTTATTTTTCCTTCCATTGAGCCCTAGAGAAGAGAGTAGAGTTTGATTGCAAGTTATAAGAACAACACTAAAAGCATGTCCTATAGGGACAAGAAAAGATGTCAGGTGGGGACATCCAAAGAAAAGGGACCTGTACAAGTCTCCCAGGGAGGGCCATGACTTCTGGACTTCAGGAACAATATTGGTAACATCAAATTTGTTCTTTTCAACTTTGTAATTTTCCTTTGTTTCCACAAATCTGGATAAAAATCTAGAGCCTGGACTTAGCTATACTTTGGAGAATAAGGGAAGGGGGTCTGGGTTTTCATGGCCTGAGCAGGCACAGAGAGGACAGTAGCCACCCATGGAAGGCAGATTAAGGACAGCAAGCAGTCACTGTCAGAGTCTCCTGGGGCAGCAACTGGCTGGGACTTGAGAGACTAGCAACACAGATTATTGGAACCTGTAAGCTAGCATCCCTCAGAATCACCCAGACATAATGGGGAGAGGAATCAGGTGAAAGAATCCGCACTGCATAGAAGCAGTTACACATAATACAGAACACTGAACTGCGAACCTGGCACTTCCAGACCCAATTATCCTACCTTCTCTCCTGCCCACTTAAAAATTGGTCACTTCTCGCCCTAGCTGTTTTGGCTCAGTGGATAGAGCATTGGCCTACAGACCAAAGGGTCCCAGGTTTGTTTCCAGTCGAGGGCACATATCTTGGTTGCAGGCTCATCCCCTGGTCGGGGCCAGGCCCTGGTCGGGGAATGTGCAAGAGGCAACCAATCGATGTTTCTCTCTCACATCAATGTTTCTCTCTTCTTTCCCTCTTTCTTCCACTCTCTCTAAAAGATCAATGGAGCCCTAACTGGTTTGGCTCAGTGGATAGAGCATCGGCCTGCGGACTGAAAGGTCCCAGGTTCAGTTCTGGTCAAGGGCATGTACTTTGGTTGCAGGCACATTTCCAGTAGGAGGTGTGCAGGATGCAGCTGATTGATGTTTCTCTCTCATCGATGTTTCTAACTCTCTATCCCTCTCTCGACCTCTCTGTAAAAAAATCAGTAAAATATATTTTTTAAAAAAAAGATCAATGGAAAAATATACTCGGGTGAGGATTAACAATAACAAAAAATAGTCACTTCCCTGGTATAGTCTATCCTAAAGAGCTTCAACTGCCAATCCCTGGAGTTTGGGGATTTCACATATTTTAAGATTCACCTTGCAATATATAAATATGTCCAATTTTGTCACTTTTTCAAAGGACTTCATTCAAAGAGCTGTTTCCTGCTTTTAGACTGGTCTTGTACACCTGAGGGTTAGTCATAAGAACAGCAATGAAAAATTAAAAAGTCTATACAATTTCTTTATTTGCTAAATTTTTGTCAAATATTGTGATAGGTCTTACTGATGGATTCCCAAATATCTACCTGACTTTTGGTCCTTAACACATGCCATTAAATTTGATAAGAATGATTACCCTGTACCTAAATCATGATTCCCTTGTGTTTGTTAAGTTTTGAAAATACGTGATGTTTATTATCTTTCAGTATACTCACCATCCGCATGTGCATAGTCAGGAAGGTTACCCCTTCTGTTCACTGAAGTGCTTCTTGGCAGAAATCCTCCACACCTTTTCCAAGTCTCTAATGACAAGTTTATATTTGGAGGCACTCAGTTACCCCGTTCTATCCTTGTTCTTGGAGCTCTTGGGTGACGACCAATAGCATGTTTTTCCCATGAATCTTGATCTCTGGCATACAACATTCTGAGATTTGGTTACCAGCAGATCTTGTGACTTGAAAACTTATATAACTGAAGGCTTGATTTTGGATTTTGCTCTGATGTTTAGGATTGTTACACCAAAATAATTAACATAAGCTTCTTAAAAGCAGAAACCAGGTCTTATCCTTTTGTTTGCTCTTATCTGCTCACATAGGGTGGGCAGTTAGAAGAGGGACTCAGCATATGGATCATCAGGGACTGATGCTAAGGAACTTCTCTGAAACTCAACCTGTAGCAACACTGCACCTGAACAAGGTTTTGGCTGTGTCATGTCTAGACCTAGCAGGTGGCATCCAAAGTGGTTACTTTCCTATCCTATGGTTGGCTCTGGTTAAATCCTTCACTTAGTCAACATTTACTGAGCACTTACAATGAGCGGGGCCCTCAGAGCTGAACAAGATACAAACCTGCTGTGCCATGATGTCAGAATGTAATAGGAAAAGGACACTTTCATTGATAATGACTACACAGTGTGGCTTTTGTTTCATTAGTGTCACCAAATAAGAAGCCATGTTCTGGGCAAGCAAAAACATATCAAATGTCTCCCTGGTCACTTTCTTTTTTTCTTTACTGAAGCAAAAGCTCATGAGACAGTGAAGAACGTACTTTCAGTCATACCTGGGGTGGGATGCAGGCCCCGCCCCGTACTAGCTCTTTGGTCTCTGTTTCCTCGTGTACAAGATGAAGGCCTCATAGGGTGAATGAGAGGATTTATTAAGACAACAAATGCAAAGTGTCTATCTAGCATAGTGTCTTGCCCAGGATGGGTAATATTATTGCATATACTTTGTGCTGTCTTAGCAAATAACTACCACACGAAAATAACTACCACACAGAAACATTCCTATGAGTTGTTAATAGACAAAATATCAACTTCAATATAGAATTTAAGGAAAAAACAAATACCACAAATATGATCTCAGCACTTACCTCAATTATCCCAGACCCAGGGTGATCAGACCACCCTGGATCAGATATAACCCCTTCCAGAAAGCCCAAATTAAAGAAACCCCAAGTACTAGGCTGCATGGAGTCTGAAATGATGCTTAATCTGCAAATAACCTTGTGTTTATTTACTTATTTCTTTATTTTAAATTATCTCTTTCAGGAATAGAAACGGTTAGGGCAAATCAAAGTACTCAATAGATAATGTTCCTAAAATAATGCATTGTTGTCACTGGTTTGAATAATCCAGTAATATAGGTACAGATAATACATTATGTCAAACAATGTAGATGGAAGATGGTACGCCGTGAAAAAAATTTCAGATCAAAAAGTGGCCTAAATGAAACAACTAGCAATGATCCATGAGAAAAACTTAGTTTCATGAAATGGGGAAAAGCAAAAATACAGAATATTTCATGTACGATTTCATATATGAATATATAATCAAATTACTAAAGTAAATATTGAAAGCAGGAGTTCTCTTCCTACATAGTATTTCTGTAGATTACACAGCCCCATCAGCACTCCTAGAGCCATCAATTCTCACTTTCTCTTTGCCTTTCTAACCTTCCATTCCTACCAGTACTTGAGGTATTTGATATTCTTTGGTTCTTCCTCAACTACTCTTCTACTTTTGGTTATTTCTGTGCTTCCATTGCTACCATCACTTATGACTCTGGTGGAGGAGGCTCCTCTGGTGGGGGAGGCGCCGCTGGCGGAGGCTCCTCAGGTGGGGGAGGCTCCTCAGGTGGGGGAGGCTTCTCAGGTGGGGGAGGCTCCTCCGGTGGGGGAGGCTCCGCCGGTGGGGGAGGCTCCTCCGGTGGGGGAGGCTCCTCCGGTGGTGGTGGCTCCTCTGGTGGCGGGGGCTCCACTGGTAGGGAGGCTTCTTCTGGTGGGAGGCCTTCCTCAGGTGGGAGGTCCTCCTCTGATGGGATAATCTCTGATTCAAAACTGGTATGCTCTGAACTCAATGTTGTGGAGGCCCCTGGGGTCTCTACTGACTCAATTCCAGCATTAAGACTAATGCAACATATTAATAATATCAATAATAGTAAAAGAAATGAAGGGAGTATGAAAACTATAATACCAAGATTTTGAAATTCAGTCTTAGGTTTAGCAGGACTGCCACCTTCACCTTCACTTAGATTTGCATCAGTTGGTTTAGCAGGGGAACCACTGTCCACACTCCCCCCATTTCCTGGAGTCCTGCAGTCGGGGGGTGCATAGCCAGCCTCACAGTGGCAGTGCCTTACATTGTTACAGACTCCTCTCCCATTGCACATTTCTGCTGGTCTGCAGTCATAGTTGAGCACAGCATGATCAGTGCAGGAGTAATTCATGCAGACTTTGTTTGGGGCACAAGCAGTGCCAGAGTGCACATCTCCCTCATCAGGGATATCAGTAATGTTATAGACATCCAAGCTCCAGCAGAAGTCACCTTCATAAGGAATCTGGATCAGTGTGTGATGGGGTTTGATGGATGGGACCCATCTAATATTTGTACATATAATTTTCCCACAAAATACATTATCATCAAAACACTTAACATATGTTGACATTGCCGAGGTGGGATGCCCACAGTTTCCAAACCGGTCCCCTTTGCTGTTCATTGAAATGTAACAGTTTTCTGGGGCTGACCGTGCAGTGTCCCCATACATAGCCATGCATTGATTATCAGGGTTCCTGCATTGACCCCCAACACAGTAGTGCAGTCTACCGCACGACGTCCCATCTTGCTTATAGGTGTCTGTGGGGCACTCTGCAGAGGTACCATCACAATACTCTGGGAGGTCACACTCTCCCAAAGCAGAACGGCACATGAATCCCTTATTCTTCAGTCGGCAACCAAAACAGCAGAGTCCATCACTACATTCTGCACTCCCCTTCAGGCTACATGTCTGGTCACAGCACGGGTCAGTGTAACAGGCAGAACCACAGTCACACTGCTCCTCACCCTCCACCACACCGTTTCCACAGTAGGAATCCCTACGCAAGCGGCCTTTGTGCCGCTGAGGGTTGTTAAATAGGCAGGCCCCTCTGTGTTCCTGGAGGAACTGGTAGAAGTCGTCAGAGCTACAGTTGCTGAAGCCACTTTCTTTAGTGATATTGTCACGCATGAGGCAGAGGGGTTTGTCTTTACAAATGCAGGCTGAGTGGTCGTGCCGAATACCCAAGTTGTGCCCAAGCTCATGGACCATGAGCGCTGCAAACAGCAGGACATCTTCATGATGGAAGGATTCAACAGCTGCTGCAAACCCACTTGAGCAGGCACCATTGAGAAATGCCTGTCCCATACCCTGTGCAGGATGCTGTCCGACAATCATGTGGGCAACATCATGCTTCACACGATGGAGGAGCTTCTCTTGTCTCCAGCTGTTGAAATTCCCGAGTGTAACTTGCAGGTCCACTGGGACCTCTATGAGGTCCCCCTCGGTCCAAATCTCCATTCCAGCCAGCACCACCTCTGTGTTTATTCCCCTAGTGAAGCTGTTGGCCAGGGCAATGATGTGCATCACCCTCTGGACCGTCTCATTGACGTTACTGCCCCACATTCGGAACCGCTGGTTGTTGACCACAACAAACATCTCCACATACTTGGTGAGTGACCACAAGTAGGACAGCTCCTGTAGACCGCCAGGCTTCTTGCTCCCTTGTTGTCTGCTGGTGGACACCACTGGGCTGTCTTTGGAAGTGACACTGCAGAAGACTGGAGCTTGATGGGCCATGGTGTACAACACATGTTCAAACTGTTTTGAAGAGTCCATGGGCTCAATGCCATAGGATTTTCCCTCCTTAATCAGGATGCCCCTGAGGCCTGAACAGGTGTTGACAGAAACAAAAGAACCCGGGACTCCTTCTATGTAGCCTTCATAGTGACAGTCATGTGAGATGGAAGGCATTTCTTGTCCCAGGATGCCATTGTGGTAGCTGAAGACTGGAAAGTTCTTGATAAAATAGTCTGTCTTCACTTTCAGGTGAATCAGCTGTTTCTGGCCCTGCATAGATATCATGTAGGATGTATTTTTCTCTTGGCCATCCCTTTCCTGAAATATCAGCCCCTTGGGAATAATTATTTCATAGAAAGTATAATATACTGATCCCAGGTCACAGTACATACTTGGCAGGAAAACCACCAATAGTATCACAATTCCCAAACGGATACATGAAGATCCTGGCACTGGCCCCAGCCTTAAGTCCCTCTTCTGCTGAGCCCAAGTCTGTAACTTGATCTTACCCTTTTTCAAGGCCACTTGGTTTTTCCATAGAGAAGGCCGTATAGAGGCAGAATCTCTCATAGAGGTGGCCACTGACATGGCCCTAGTGATCAGTTGATGATGCAGGGCCTGTGTCCATCAGCAACAGCTTTCCTTGGCATGCTGAACCTTGGAGATTGAGATCTAATCTGGCTCCCTTATGGGTGACTGCTTCCCAACTCGGTCTTACAAGTTTGAGGCTGTCTTTATACTCTTGCTTCCCTCTTGATCTTCAGTTGTTGCCTTCGTCCAAACAGCAACAGCTTTAATGCTCCTTGTCTAAGTTCCCTTTATCCTCACAGAGACATATACCAAGTAGAAAGTCTGTAATGATTCAGCCAGTACTTTAACTCTGATAAATTATCCTTATCCTCAGTCCAGGCCACAGAACTCCCTGATATCCGTTAATCTGCTCATTCTTTGAAACCCAACATTCTGGCAGGAGGTTGGGGGGAAGGGGACAGGGATTCTTGGGGGATCTATGAGCAGGACAAAGTTCTCTGTTGCCCACTACCTCTTTTCCTCATTTCTGTTGTAATACAGGGTACTGTTTCTCAGTCCAGCCCTTCACTGTATCATTTTTTTTGCCTTTAATTTTTAAAAAAATCACATGCAGATTCACAAATTCTCCCTTCTTAGCCTTTGTTCATAAAAGATGAAGTTAGACATTTTGTATCTAAATATAAACGTAATTGTTATCTTCTAAGAAGTTTTCCTATCATAGAGACATATTAAGTATTAAATGAAATGAGTTCAGTTTCACCATGGAGGTAGTTTAAGTGACTGGGATCAAAGTTCATTTCTTCTCAACTGTCCCAACATAAAAACAAGCTGATTATTAACCAACTACCTAGATACCATTTCATCAAGAAAATAAAAGTGTATTCTATAAGACCTTTGAAGAGATTTCTTCACTTTTGTAACTAAAATTAAACTCTAATCTCTGTACAAGTCCACAGGTTTTATCTTAATATCCTGGTGTATTCAACCGTACAAATTTAAAAGGTAAAAAGGCAGGGAAAAGCCCTATCCACAACCCTTGTCCAGTTATTTTCCTGTGCATACTAAAATGAAGTTAAATAAAACTCTAGATCCTTTACTTTGCATAAAAATAATTTATATTAAGTCAATATTTACAATATAAAATAAGGGTTGAGTACAAGTTTAACACACACACAAAATGGGAAACTACCCTATCTCAGAATGATATGATACCACAAGATCTCAAATATGAGCATGAGCAGATCAACTCATTAACTATCCCCAATTAATATTTAAGTCCTCATATAGATAAAATTTATCATTAGCATCTAGCAAGAAAATTTATACTGTCATGTCACAAACCTATTTTAAAATTTTACAGCAAAAAGGTGAAATGATTTCTAGCTGGATTTCTTTTTTCTTTGTAGTTCATATAAGTGGAAAGAACGCCTCTTAAAATTATGTAATTTAGAAATTATCAGATTTAAGGTGCTTCCCTGTGTCTTAACCAAAACAGGCAGGGCAAATTAGGTTAAGTCATTTTATGGGATGAAAGAATTAAATCAATAATGAAAGAAAACCTCTACTTTTTAAATAAATAAAAATATAATTAAAATTAAATATCCAAGTTTCCAGTTCCCAAATTGAAACACATTTTCTTGAATAAATAACACACATGTAAGCATTCATACACAAGGTCTGATTTAAATCATTTGACTTCTTCTTTAACTAATAATTTCTTCAACTTGTTCTTTCTCAAATAAATACAAGAACAAAACTGTTTAAGAGGAAGTTCCTCCTATGTTTCAAACAATAAATTTCTGGCAGATATTCTCCTATGCTTATACAATATGTTAGCCAGGGAGATATACAAGTTGTTTTACATCAAGCAGAGTTATAACTATGGTAATGTCTAGAGGTATTTGAGTGATAAGTAATGGTTTTAGTAAGCAGAGGTTAGCAAATCATGTGGCAAAACTAGAGACTCTAACCTTCTGCCTACAAAAACTGTTCTGACAATATGAACTTTCTGTAAGTTTAGGGGCATCAGAGAGACAGGCCAGAAGAGACAAGGACAATTTTTGTCTCACTTTCAGTTACAGATTTTGCTTTATCAGTGAACGTGACTGGTATGTTACGGCATCACTTGCTACTGGCCTACAAACTCTCTCCACAGAGAAAACTCTGAACACCAAACAGTGGAGCTCTGTCCAGGGTAGGACCCACTGTTGAGTTATGACAGCCTTCGCGTCTGCAGGGTATTCACAGACTTCCAGCTTGGGGCTCATCTGGACATGTCTGGAGACAGTGCACATTTGGGGGCCAGATTAATTCACCCTGAAACAACTGATACATGGGCAACTGCTGCTCAAAGTAAACAGAATGCATCATTTGGGATACCCTGCAAAACCACTTGAGCCCAAAGGTGCCATTGGGATACCCAGCTACCACTCATGCCCAAAATTCACCACACCCTGAAGGGGAAAAAAATCATCCTGAGCCATTAGAAGACACATAAACAACAAATTGGAGAAGTTCATGGTAGACTGGGCATGCTAGAAAGTTACTCTGAAGAAAAAGAAGGGTAGCAAAGTATCCCTAGTGAATACTGAACCTGTGCCCTAAGATAAGAAAAACAACAGGTAGTCAGTTGTTCGAGAAACAAGTGCAGTTTTTCCTGATTACAAGAAGTGATTTGTAAGATTGCATTTCATTGAAAAATAGAATATAATTCAACCCTTAATTCAACTTTTAGCTAAGTTTTATGGTCAGCAAATAAAACATTTCCCTGCTGCCTAATTCTTAAATTTTGCCATGTTTAAAAGTACTGAATATTCCTTACAGGGTATCCATTCACCTAATATTAGTGAGTCTTACCTAAAAAAATACCTGAACTACAAATTCTCCAAAATAAAAGGGAACCAATGTAAAAAGGTAATTCTTAAAAGATACTTTGTATTATTATAATATATTTGCACAGTTACATACATATATAGGCCATACTAACCAAATGTCACCTAGATGACATTCTCAGCAAAATGAGTTAGCTCTGTGGGGTAGATTTTGATTGAAGAGAATGTGACAGAATAAAACTAAATATCTGAGCCTACCGATCCTTTCCCTCTGCTTTGCGAATTGGAGTTTGTCTATTAGCTAGCTCTTCTTAGGAACACAGCCTAACTTCTAAAAAAAATTTTTTTAAACATGATGTTATGGAAGTCCATTTGTACAACAAAAAAACAAACAAACAGAAAAGCATCCAGCCTTGATTTCCGTTCAAACAGCTGAACTTGGCCAGAAGCATGCTTCCCGATAATGAAGGTGGCAGAACAAAATAAGTGCAGCCCAGAGGATGCCGACATGAAACCTAGGCAGAAACATTACAGAAAAAAAGGGCAGCTTTAAGAGGAAAAAAAACCTGGACCCTATTAGATGCTAATCCAAAAGTCCACTTTTCATAAAATGTTACTTTCTCAGAAAAACCACCCCCTAAGTGGGCCAGAAGAACAGGGAAAGGACATAGGAAGCAATGGAGCTGGTGAGGGCTGCCAGGAAGGAGAGAGGAAAAGTAGGGTCTCAGGGGAAAGGAAACTGAAATTTTGATTAAACATAAAAAGAATAAACTCAAAAGATAATCCATTAGATTTAAGAATCACACCAATTCCTTTTAACAAATATGGCCAATAAAAACAAAAGTGTTACCACTTTTCTCTTAGGAATTAGGGACAACAAAATGAAGGCTCAGCTCCCTGCCTCTCCCATCATGGGAGCCAACATCTTGTGAATTTCAGCAGACAGTCTGTAACATGGATCCACAAACATTTCTTGGCATCAGGGCTAATCTACCAATAGTGCAGAGAGTAAATACACAGGGCAATTAAAACCAAATTCCACAGTATTTGATTCAACTGTTTACTAAGGAGAAAGATCAGTATAGTTGGTCCTTTGTCTACCGCTGACAAGTGGTTTTTATATACTTTATTACAAATAAAACAATCTTGCTTGATATAATATCTGTCATTTTACAGACATGACTAAGGAGTCCTAAAATAATGTATATTTCTAGGAGCTAAGCTTTTCTTAAAAACAAACAAATGAACTATACTATTAGTAAATACCATTATCTAAATCTATACAGCATCTTTAAGCAATGTGAAAATGAAATGATTTATTAATTTACATAAAAATTACTTTATACATTAAAGAATAGTTTTTCAGATTATAAAAAAACAAAGTCTGAAGCTGTCATTATTGGGATTCATGGGATGTGGTTTGTTCCTCTATCACTTGCTTCACAATTTCTGCCAGTTTTAGTCGATCTACTTTATCTGTGAATCCACGACCTGAAAGCCAAGAAAGAAAAAGATCAATCTCCAAACTGTTTGGGAGGAGATAGGTTCTTGACAGGAACCCAGTAAGGTACACCTTACCAGTGTCCAATTCACCTTCACAATGGAGGAACCGTCCCAACACCGATCAAAAGCAGTTCAGACCCCCCATTTTGCAAGTAGCAATTAAGCAGTTCCATTAACCTGGCAGTAAAAATCCAATGTTCAGTACAACAGCAAACAAGGAAACTATGAAGAGAAAGGTCTTTGTAATATATATGTTTGACAAAGGACTCGTATCAAGAATATATAAAGAACTCATACATCTATAAGAAAGATATAACTCAACAGAAAAACTAGCAAAAGAATAGGTACTTAACAAAAGAGGAAATCTAAATGGCCACTAAACATCTTTAAAGTGCTAAAGTTCATTAGGGAAAGGCAAAGTAAAATGACATTGTAATACCACTATCATCTATCCAGAATGACTAAAATAAATAGAAAGATAGACGAGAGTTGATGTGGAAGCAGGGTAAGTTAACCTTCAAACACTACTAGTGGAAGTATCAACCAGAATAACCACTTTGGAAAACTCTTAGCAGTACCCACTAAAGCCAAACAGATGAATACCTCCATGAACCAGCAATCCAATCCTAGATATATAAGAGGTAAGAGAAATTAGTTCAGCAAAACATTCTTCAAAAGATAACACACAAGAGCATTCATAGCAGCCCTTTTCTTAATTACCAAAACTTGGAAATAACTCAAAATGTCCAACAGTAGACTACCTATGTACACACACACACACACACACACACACACACACACAAAGGGTGGGCAAAAGTAGGTTAAATTACCAGCCACCACTATCAGAAGTAAGGATACAAAAAAAGAATAAGAAATAATAATGCAAATACATAATACAATCAATAAATAATAAAAGAATAAACTTTTGCATACTAACAACTGTAAACCTACTTTTGCCCGTGTGTGTGTGTGTGTGTGTGTGTGTGTGTGTGTGTGTGTGTAGAGAGAGAGAGAAATATATATTGAGAATATATATATATATAGAGAGAGAGAGAATGAGAATGATCTGCTGCTACACACAAGGCTGAATCTCACAAATATAATGTTAACTAAAAGAAGCCAGACACAAAAGAACAGACATGTGTGATTCCATTTATATAAAATATAAATCAATAGTACTAGCAATCAGGATTGTGATAACCCTTGGGGGTGGGAGGTAGTGACTAGAAGAGAGTCCATGTCCACTACATGTTCTAGGGACTAGTTATATGGAATGTTCATTTTGTAAAAATTCATCAACAGTACACACTTCAAATGTGATCACTTTTCTGTATTGATATTTCAAAATCTTTTTTAAAAAAAACATGCCAGGGAAGCTAATTTCTTCCAGGCTATCACTGGATTTCTCTTGTCCAAGAACCAAGTCAGGCTCTAGCTGGTTTGGCTCAATGGATAGAGTGTTGGCCCCCAAATTGAAGGGTCCCAGGTTTGATTCCAGTCAAGGGCATGTATCTTGGCTGCAGGCTCGAGTGTGAGGGAGGCAACCAATCTATGTGTCTCTCTTACATCGATGTTTCTGTCTCTCCCCTTCTCTCCCAAACTCTCTAAAAATCAATGGAAAAATATCTTCCGGTGAGAATTAACAACAATAAAAAAATAGCTCCAGGTAGGCCTGCAGAGATTCGTACCCTTTCTAAACAATCACTTCATTGTATTCCTGGGGAAAGAAGTAATTAAGACTCCTACCATTCCAGCTGAAGCTTTGCAGAGTGTCTCTCAGGAGTTTGCATTCCCGGTTATACTTCCAAGCCTCTTGCATTACTTCATTCAGCTTTTCATCTTCATTCTCGCCTATTGATAAAGATGAAGAAGTTGCATTTCCCTGCAGCATTATGGGATTTTAGTGTCAGAGATGGAAGGACATGATGTTCAACGTGTTGAAAAGTGATGACTAAAGGTACAAACTTCACCAGCCACTGCTGTTCCTGCTAATGTCTACATGACATATAAACCACTTCTGGTCTTTGAACTCGTCTACTGGGACAGCCTCACACAAATCCTCTGATGGCCCCAGAGTCTTCGCACTGGGGGATGGGAATAGGCAGTGTCAGACTACTGCTGAGCAAAAACAGCTTAGGTCTCTGGTTAACCTAATGGACCAAGAGATAGAGGAAGAACAAAGCTGAGCAGGCTACCTTCTTTCTCCTAAGCTCATTTCTTACTCTGGAAGGCTATTGGAGGTACACTAAATATGAGTTCCCTGAAAATGCAAGAAGTAGGAAGACAGGTCAACCCAACAGTTTTCTGGCCTACTACTTAAAGGATCTCTTTCATCTGCTGAGAAAAGCCCATTACACCCCACTGAGTGGGGAAAGAACATATTGAAAGCAAACTCTCACTCAAAAGAATCCACATGTAAGTCACACTCTGCCCATCACATGAGTAGCAGCAGAGTCCACTTCTGACCTGGGGGCGTATTCTCTTTATATTCACAAGTTAATAAAGCCTTGAACTCTAATGGCTCTGGAAATGACGTCTCCTGAGCTTTTCAACACTGAACTTGACCCTGTCCACAGTCTCCATTCTCCATCACATGCCCTCATTAATAAACCGAGAAAATATAAAATTATATGCTGCACCTGGCACTGGCAATTAAACCTAAATTACAAATGTCACAAAAAAACAAAGGAAGGGTAGAATTTACCCTAACCCATCATCCACTCTTTTGAATGGGTAAAGACTGATTTATATAATGTACTTACTTTCTTATACACAAAGATGAAACAGACAACCTCAAATTAAACCACTCCTTTTGTCATGTGCATGCATGCACATGTACACACACACACACACACACACACACACACACACACACACACAGCATTTGTAAATGGTGTGACCTTTACCAGCCTGGGGGAGAATACATTGAGCAATCACATCACGGAGCTTTTCCAAGGCAACATTTGAATCCTCGGTTCCATTCTCACGATCGTGGATATACACACCATCCTTTGGCCTGGTGCTTTAAAAGTTTGGGGGAGAGATAATAACAAGGTAAGACCCAAAAACCTAACACTCAACAGATGTTAACTCTAAACATAAGGCAACAGATTTTTCAGAAAATTAACAATAGAGCATCTCCAACTTTTGATGCTATTTAAACAGCTTATTCTTCCCACCCTCTTAAGAGGCAGCTCACTAGTTGAGCATCAACCTATGAACCAGGAGGTCACAGTTTGATTCCTGGTCAGGGCACATGCCCGGGATGTGGGCTCAATCTCCAGTGGGGGGCATGCAGGAGGCGGCTATCAATGATTCTCTCTCATCATTGATGTTTTTCTCTCTCTCTCCCTCTCCCTTCCTCTCTGAAATCAATAAAAATATATATATATTTTTAAAAAGGCAGAAAATGGGCCTCCCAACCATGAACGAGAATAAATGAAATAAGCTCAGTTACCCAAGTAATTTCCTCTTCCTCAGAATGGGGTTGTTCACAGAGTGCAAGGGTTTGAGGCTGACTTTCGGATCCTGGATTCGCATGTTGGCCAACTGTTCCGCATGAGCCTGCTGGATTCCTGCAACCACCGCCTGAATACAAACACTGTCGTCAATTTTTCATATTCATTTCTGAGTACCTAGAAAACCTATCTAAGAGCATGGGAAGGAGCTCAAGGAACTAAGAAGGCAATTTCACTACTATGCTGGCAGTATATAAATTTTGATAAAGCAGAGATTCTTCCCCGTGGGCCAGTAGGGTCCAGAAGAAATATTAACAAGGCTCATGCTCACAGTCATTGGCAAGGGCAAGTATAAAGAGAGGCAAACGTGTACATCAGAGAAAAGGCTGGCAAGCTACTGCCCGAGAAGCCTCCCAGCTTGCCTCCAAAGTGTAGAGAGGCCCTGATGGCTCAGAACCCCAACTGTTTCACACTGAGTGTGGTAAACACTCAAGCACTGGTCTATACACCAATTAATTTATAATGAGAAATAACTGTCACAAAGTGTAGAACTCTTGAAATCTGTGTTTTTATGACCAATGCTTGGTCTCACTACGGGCAAACCAATGAGGGAAGACAAATACTCAGCAGAAAGCTTTGTAAGAACTAGATGATCCCATTTTTTTGTATTTTTTTGAAAAGGACAAATTCTTGAGTGTGTGAGGGTCTCCCCAGAAAAACATCAGGAAGGATACATCACACCATAGATTAGCTCACTTCTGAGGGGTGAGATTAAGGCAAGGAAATAAAAGGGAACTTTTGCTTTTTATTTTATATATCTCTGCTCTGTTTGAATTTCAACAATAAATTCTGACCATTTAAAAAAGCAGTTCCAAAAAAAAACAAAAAGCAGTTCCTTGTTAAGCGTGCTTTTAGATCAGGAAGAGTTTACAGGAACTATAAACAGTTGCCCTGGCTACCCCCCTCTGGACCCTCATATCTATTTATTCATGAGTGATGGCCCAACCAGAAAGATGGGAATAATTCAAGGGCACAAGTTCAGGCTCCATCTCCTAGCCAGGGCTTAGATGGACACTATTCAACATCTGCATATGTGGCCATTTTTCCAAAGCTGACCTACCCACATCACGACCACATCATTCTTTAACAACAGGAATACACTGTCAACGTTGAAGTTCCATCTTAAAGGCCTAAGAGCCACTTTTTCTCATTAACAAGATTCTCCAAATCCATACTTGGCTTCATTATGCACTAATTTTAAAATAACTACAGAAGGCAATTATTTCTTCATGTCCAAAATTTTGAAGAAAGCTACATTGAAAACTCATGTACTGACAAACAGAGGATACAAATAATCCCTTTGGATTTAGACTGACCAAACCATTTTTGCACTACTGGGCATATTTACTAACCAGTAAGGTAACCGTACACAAATCTGAGATGGCAGAGAATTCTGTTCCTTCCAGCTCTCCTTTCTCTCCCATAAACTAAGGGAGGTCTTAGCATTCTCTTTTCCTGTTCACTCATTCTTTGTCACACTTTAACCTCATCCCTTTTAAGAGGGTAGCATTCTCCCTGGCCAGGTTGGCCTGTTTGCCCCTGCCTTTGCCTCTCAGCCACACTCTGTTTCCGGACCACAAATCTCATTTGAGTGTCCATCTACCACTTGAAACAATATCTGAAACCTAAAAGATTTCCCTTCACTCAAACTAGCCTCA